CCTCCAACAACAGGAAGTCACCCTCTAAAACAGGAAGTCACCTCCCAGCAGGCACAGACGGCTCTACAGAATGAGATCTGGAGCATGGTCCTCCTCCAGCATGTGAGCAGCTGGTTCTGGATGTCAACAACCACCTGATTGATCCACTATGAGAAGGTGCTTTTTATAAGACTGAGTTTGTTGCAGCTCCTCGGACTGAAGAAGTCTTTTGGTCTTTAAAAGACAAAATTTTTCAACAAGATTTAAATGTATTTTATTATTTTTGAATGCACCCAGAGGACCTGATTGAACTTTGTTAAACATCTGGAACAGTTTGTCGGGATAAGACAAGTTTAAAGTTTTAAATGTGACACGTGATCTCAGCTGGTCTACAACTAATCAAATATACACAGTTCTTGAAGGTTTTTTTTTTCCTTCCCTAAACTGAACTGTGGAAAAACACATGTACAATTCCAGCATCAACAATAACTGGTCATTGTCCTGGTCCATGGTCCCACCCTGCCTGAAGACAACTACCCAAGAACCCCCACACTTCCTGTTTAAATGACTACGGGCCCGCTGCTCTCACTCCGGTGGTGATGGCGTTTGAAAAACTGGTCAGGAGTCACATCACTTGACTCCTCCCACAAACGCTGCACCCCCACCAATGTGCCTACAGAGATAACAGATCAGCTGATCGAGATGCTTCTCAAAGTTCATGGTTTGATCCGGTTCCTTCTCGTCAGAAGATGATTCTAGTTGAACACTGTGGTGTAAAAGACAGCAGATGAGTTGGTTTGTTTCAAACGTACCTTTGCAAAGATCACTGATGTCTTCAGGGAGCTCCAGGTGTGCACAGCGCAGAGCACAGGAGAACAGCTGGACCTGCCTCTGGACAGGTGGACCGAGGCAGGACTGGAACAGAGGCTCTGCCAGCAGCTCTGCAGGACTGGGCCTGGAGGACACAGCATGACGCTCATGGAGGATGAAGGCTCACAGTTTTCTTTGTCACATTATTGACCAGTAACAAAAAAGGTTAAACATCTGGACCAGTTTCTTTGTTATTGTCAGCAGAACTAGTGAAGGACGTCCCACAGCACAGGAACGGACTGAACAGGAACTCTGGGTACCTTTGAGATGGCAGGAAGGTCAAACACTTCCTTAATATCTGCAGAACGTTCTCAGGCAGCTCCTGTGAAATAAAATGAGAGCTGAGGTTCTCATGTTTGGAATAAACACGATTCTAAAACGTCAACTGATCTGAAGACTCGTTAAAAGATCTCCAGCAACAATACTTTAACGCTTTAGGAGCAGAATGCTGGAAGAAATCATCAACGACTTTAGATTGTTTTCTGTTTAACCAAAACATTTTAATTGTAGAAAACCTGGAGGTTAATATGAGAAAGACATCTCACCACGATCAGAAGACATTAGGCCCCAACATTAACAGCTCCATCAGCGTTTCAGCTGGAACTCTGATCAGGTGTGGAGGAGTTTCACCTTGAACTTGTAATGACCTAACTGTACAACCTGAGAGGATCAAGCACTGCGGCTGTTTCAGCTCCACACTCTGACAAACAAGAGTTATTTACCGTCTTTCAACCTTTAGTCCTACAGATCCATCACACGGAGCCTCAGGGGCTCATTTACAAACACTTACTTCTTCATCAGATCATTATAAATGATTAAACACCAACATGCAAATCTGACCACTTCATCTGCATTTTATTTAAATTCTCTGAGTTTATAAAGTCATTTTTCCTGCCTGAAAAGTCCTGGTTTCATTCTGACTTTTAAAATAACAATAATTCAGGATCCGTTTGGTTTTTATGTCACCGATTGATTTTGATGTTTTTTTTTGTTCTCACACCGCGTGAAGCACTTTAACATTGTTCTTTTTAAAATTCATTCATTCATTTGACATTCACATGTTTAACCCTTCACACACGTGTCTGTACCGGCTCGTCTGCCAAATGCTACTAGTCTGTAATTATCCCTATCTTAACGTGTTTTCTGTCTTTCCTCCTATAGAAAGTCCACCTGGACTATAGAAAGTCCACCTGGACTATAGAAAGTCCACCTGGACTATAGAAAGTCCACCTGGACTATAGAAAGTCCACCTGGACTATAGAAAGTACACCAGGACTATAGAAAGTTCACCTGGACTATAGAAAGTTCACCTGGACTATAGAAAGTTCACCTGGACTATAGAAAGTCCACCTGGACTATAGAAAGTACACCTGGACTATAGAAAGTACACCTGGACTATAGAAAGTACACCTGGACTATAGAAAGTACACCTGGACTATAGAAAGTTCACCTGGACTATAGAAAGTCCACCTGGACTATAGAAAGTACACCAGGACTATAGAAAGTCCACCTGGACTATAGAAAGTCCACCTGGACTATAGAAAGTCCACCTGGACTATAGAAAGTACACCTGGACTATAGAAAGTCCACCTGGACTATAGAAAGTACACCTGTTATTATGTGTCTGTTTCTACTTCCTGTCCTCAGACCCAGCCGGTCAAAGCTCGTCCTGAGCCTGGTTCTGGTTCTGGTTCCTGTTCAGGTCTCTCTTGTAAATGAGTCCTGGAAGCTCAGTGAGATTAACCTGTAGAAATAAATGTTGAATGAATGTTGGAGGGTTCTTCCTGTTAAAGGGAGTTTTTTTTCCCCACTGTCTCAATTCAGTTTATTTATAAAGCACCAAATCACAACAAGTTGTCTCAGGGACTTTACAGGAACATTCACATAAAAGACAGTTAGTAAAGTTCTCTATCTGAGGAATCCAGCAGACAAGATGAATCTTGTTCTGCTTTGTTCTCGCTCAGGATGAGAGACCGAGATGAAGATTCAACACAACCTGCTGCTTCCTCAGATACAGAACTTTAATAATTGTCTTTTATAAAGTATGAGAATGTTTCTGTACAGAGACCTGAGACCACGTATGTTGGAGCTGCAGAAATGAACTGAAGTGAACTGAATTTAACTGAAATGAACTGAAATAAATTGAACTGAATTTAACTGAATTTAACTGAAATTAACTGAAATAAATTTAATTGAATTGAGCTGAATTGAACTGAATTGAACTGAAATGAAATGAGCTGAATTGAACTGAACTGAATTGAACTGAATTGAACTGAATTGAACTGAAATGAGCTGAATTGAACTGAAATGAGCTGAATT